AAACATCATGAAACTTAGTCAGTAAGCCTTTTATAAGGTGCTCTTTCACATGATGGGGTTATTCTTTCTGGAACCATTATTTAATTAGATTTGGAAGCGTACCCAGTCCCTTTTTCGTTTTGTTATCGGCCAATTGTTAAATGACCGAATTCAAGACGAGATATAACGAGCATAAGTCATCTTTTCAACAACCACAAGTTGTTCAACAAAACCACGTTAAGCAAACATGCATGGGACTCGACAACAACATTGAGTTCCAAATAAAATGGAAAGTAATCAAGCACGCTAACACATACAATGGAAGTCCATCAAGGTGCAACATGTGCCTTGCAGAAAAGGTGTGCTTTGTAATGGAGAAAAAGCAGCACTCCTTAACAAAAGAACTGAACTAATATCAAAATTCAGACACGAGAATTAATGCTTTCCAACGTAACAGCGTGAGTTGGAAAGCGTATTCATTACGGTTCAAAGCACTAAGTCACATTTAGTGAATTGTATTTCATGGATTGTATTGTAAGTAGAACAATATATGGATTAACGATAACGTATATAAGATTGATGAAAATATGTTTGTTCACTCTCGCTTGTTGGACGCGTACAACGCGCCAGGATATTCGTGTAACCGAACTTAACCAGATTTAGTGTTGTCAAGTAATATTAGTTAGTATTCTAAGTTGTTAAACATTATATATGTATATATATAAATTTGTGCTAGGTTTTCGTATTCTATCTAAACTATAATTTACTAATGGTAAACCATGGTGAGCCGAGCTGCCGTCACCGTGCCGTGATTCTGGGGAACTCCCTCGTATTTAGGGTTGGGTTGATCGTCGGAAATTAAAAAAAAAATCCCCAAAAAGACACCAGGCTCTTACGAAAAAGGGCATGGCAGCTAAGTATTTTTACCCCAAAAACATACCAACTAAAAATTTGTGTTGACATAATTAAACGCAATTAAACGAAGGCGGGATGAGCTGACTAACCGCCAGTTAGTAATAAAGATAAACCAATACACTGAACCACGAGGTTTAATAACAAGGCTAAAACTAGCTAACTAAATGAGAACATAAACGATGTTGATCGAGCGAAAAACCAAGATGGMCGACCACGGGTCGGTCACGTGGGTGAAACAAAAGGTACCSCCGACCGGTACTGGCGAACGATGTTGTTCACGTATCATGTTGAACACCAAAAAGATACGAGGTCTTTATAATAATAATAATTATCTTTGTTTATTTCAACCCGATTGCATTTAACACTGAATTGCCGGGAGGGTCAACTGATTACAATGATACATACATAATAAAGTACCTGCGTTTTACCCCTAAAAGGTACCACGATTATCCCTACCCATTTATATATGGAAGTACCCCCGGGGCCTTTGCAGAGTATTACGAAAACCATTCCAGTAATCGCAAACAATTTGTTTCAATTAATTACAATTGCGAAGGCACATTATACAACTTTTCAGTAAAATCAGACGTTTTGATTGGTTGGCTTTCGTGTGTTATCAAAGTATAGATACACGGATTACGTCAAAACTAATTGTTTGTTGTATAAAACAGATAGATCTCATTTTTCCGTGCGTCTGTACT